AATTAAGGCAAGGCAAATAAATAAAAGGTATCTGATTCAGAAAGAAAGTAGTTAAACTATAACCATTTGCAGATGACATGATCTTATATAGAGAAAACCCTAAAGACTCCACCAAAAACTGTTAGAACTAATGAATGAATTCGGTAAAGTTGCAGAATACAAAATCAATATACAAAAATCTGTGTTTCTATACACTAACAATGAACTATTTGAAAAAGAAATTAGGTAAACAATTCCATTTACAATAGTATCAAAAAGGAAACAATATTTAGGAATAAATTTGATCAAGGAAGTGAAAGATTTGTACACTAAAAACTGTAAGGCATTGATGAAAAATTGAAGACACAAATAAATGAAAATATATCCTGTGTTCATGGGTCAGAAGAATTAATATTGTTAAAATGTCCATACCACCCAAATGAAGTACAGATTCACTGCAACCTCTATCAAAATTCAAATGGCATTTTTCATAGAAATAGAAAAAAGTCTTAAAATTTCTATAGAATCACAAAAGACCTGAATAGCCAAAGCAATTATTGGAAAAAAGAACAAAGCTGAAAGCCTCACACTTTCTGATTTCAACGATATCACAAAGCTATGGTAATCAAGATAGTATGATATTGTCATAAAAATAGTCACACAGACCAAAGAAAAATAGAAAACCCAAGTATATATAGTCAACTAATTTTAGACAAGGGTACAAAGAACACATAATGTAGAAAGGATAATCTGTTTAATAAATGGTGCTGGGAAAACTGGATATTTACATGCCAAAGAACAAAACTGGATCTTTATCTTTCGCCATACACAAAAATTAACTTGAAATAGAATAAAGACTTTAATATAAGATTTGAAACCATAAAAGTCCTAGAAGAAAACATACGAAAAAGCTTCTTGACATTGGTCTTGGCAACGATTTCTGGGATATGACACCAAATACACAGGCAACAAAAGAGTAAATAAACAAGTGAGACAACATGCAACTAAAAAGCTTTGTAGAACAGTCAACAAAATGAAAAAGCAACCTATGGAATGGGAGAAAATATTTGCAAACCAGATATCTGATAAGGGGTTTAATATAAAAATTTATATAAGAAACTCACACAACTCAATAGCAAAAAATAAAAATAAATAACCCAACTAAATAATGGGCAAAGGACCTGAATAGGCATTTTTTCAGAGTAGACATGCAAATATTCAATGGGTATATGAGAAGGTGTTCAGCATTACTAATTATCAGATAAATGCAAATTGAAACCAGAATGAAATATTACTTCACACTTGTTAGGATGGCTGGTAATAAAAATACAAGAGATAAAGGTATTGGCAAGGGTGAAAGGCAGAAAATCCCCCCAAACTGAATATTTATTTTAAATTGTCAATCTAAAAATATCAAAGAAAGTTTTTAGTTAAAAACTTAATATATTCAAGCAAGAAAAAGATTTCTGAACATTTTGCTCACATTATCCCTTTACTGTATTACCTTTCCTCCAAAAGATAGAAAAAGTCACTATGCAATGTTCTTATAATAATTTATATACAGTATGTTATGTTACTAACAGTACCCTAGAGACCATTCTCTGATATTAGGTCATGGGAGCGGGGGAGTACTGGGGATAAAAAAAATATAATCTCAATCTAAGAGAACATTTCTATAAAATCAATCTCATTTTCAGAAGAAAGAACAAATTAATTGTACAAATTAATTCATCTTTTACTTAGTAAGAATGACTATCAAACAAATTACTCAATTTTAAAATATGCTTATTTTCGGAGTTGCCTGGCATACCATATATCCCTTCACTCATTCATTCTTTTCTTTTTTTTTTTTCTTTTTAATTTACTGAATTGGATGCAGAAGATATTGTGTTAACCAAAACATAAAATGTTTCTACTCTTCAAGAGGTCTTTTCTAACATCCTCAATTTGTCTCAAGAGTTAATTCCTACATTGTTCCTATATGTCTCCATCATAGCACTTATCACCAATTGTTCAGTTCCTCAATTAGATTAGGTACTCCTTGAAGACCAGGACCATATTTTCAGTATCTCACTGTCCTCATGACCAAGCACCATCTGACAAATAATAGATTACTCATAGCATACAATGAATAAACCAATAAATAAACAAGGGAACCTATAGTCTAGCCCACACAGAAACACATAGACAAGTAGAACAACAAAACCTAAGATGCACTGGGATAACAATACTCATAGGATACCCAAGTAGCACCAAGGAGTCACTAGATCACCTCGAAGGAAACAGAAGTGGTCAAAAAGGCTTCATTCAGCACATGATGTTTAAATACTATCTTGAAGGATAGAAGCTAGTCAAAAGCACTAACAGGGAAAAATGATTTCAAATAGAGTCATGAGCAAAGCCAGAGAAGTATAAAATAGCATGTTATGATCAGAAACCAGCAATTACATTGGTATGACTGAAGCATAGGTGACAGGGAAATTACCCTGGAATATGAATCTGGAATGGGTATGGGGGTACTAGGTCAAGGGTGGGAAAGGAGGCAGGTAAATAAATATGTCAGGCGAGAGTAAACTTTGTCTTGTAAGCCATGAGGAATCCCTGAAAAGGTGAGAATAAAATTAAAGGATAAGATTTGCTTTTAGAAAAATTATTCTAGGGGACATACAGAATAGAATGAGAAAGAAAAGATAGGTGGTTGGGAAAGTAAAGGTAGAGATAAAAAAACAGTTAGGAGACTACTTAAACAGTCCAAGTCAAATATGTTAAGAGGACTTTAAAGAAAAAAAGAGCTGAAAAAAAGAATCAATATAATCTTGCCATCAATTAGATTTAAGGAAGCTCGTTTACAAATAAGCACGGCCCTCATTTGTTAAATGGAAGTAATTAGTGCTTATCTCAGAGAAATATTATGACAACTATCTGAGATAATATATGTAAAATACTAATACAATGACTGCCAAAGAATAAGAACTCCAAACATGGCAGCGATTGTTTTATTGATGCTGATAATATCAGATTTGAATCCAGCTTGAACATTTACTCCCTGTGTGACAATGATGAAGTTGCTTAATTCTCTGCCCCACCTTCCTCCTCTGAAAAAATGGAGTATGCTTCCTAGTATCCCACAGGTTAAGTACTATTTTGAGTTTTACAGATATAACAACATATTTGTGAAGTTTATAAGAATTTAGACAAATGTCTGAAACTTTATTTTTAAGAAAAAGACTTATTAAAAGAAAATAGGAGCTGAAAATGATACTCAGGTTTCTGATTTGGGTGAATGGTGATATTATCATTCATTCAGAGGAAGAGGTTCCCTTAGAAAGCCAATCATCATGACTATTCTCCCTCAAATCCTTTAAGATGAACTAAGTGTTCTTCTAGGTGTTTTGAAAGTATACTACGTATATTACAACACTCACCTTGGTATATTTTAACTATTTTCATGTCTATTATCCTCAGAAGATACTGACAAAGCTAAGGGTAATAAAGAACTGTGTCTTTTATTTCTACATTCTCAAAAAGCATGATGTATCTGGTATATAAATAGGCTTAAAATATGTAAGCTAAATAATTAAAGATAAATTAAAGGAGATATGGATACATCCTTTAACGAGTCCAGAGAATATTTGGAAAGAAGGGTATTTCCAAAGGATTTTACCTGCTATTATTCATCAAGTAGAATGTAAAAACTAGTTAAGTTATGCTGCTCTTTTCTAGTGAAGTCTCACTAATAGAAAGTGTTGAAATGTAAATCTGTAAAGCAAATGGTAGAGAATAAACTAAGTAATACAAACAAAAACAAATTATTCAAAAGTTTCCAACTTTCCCTTTCATTATGACTATATAAATATAGCAGTGCCATGCTGTGAAGGGCTAATACTAAAACTTTCAAAATCAGAGATGAAAGGAATAGCAAAAGTTTTCCAGAATATTTATGTATATAGTCATAATCTCACTATTTGTTACGTTTCCACTATTTCATACTATACCTTAGATGAAGGTCTTCTGAAAACTTTAGACAAGCGTAGATAAATTCCTTAATTTGGTTGTAAACTTTTGGCACAAATTCAGAAAAGGGAAACTTTTTTGGAAATGGTTGCTGTAAATACAAGAATTAATGAAAGCCAAGTCACGAATGAATATATATTGAAGACATTTGTAAATTAGTTAAAATGCAAAAGGAATTTTCTTCCACATTGTGAACTATCAGCTTAATGACCTCAATTTAAGAAAGTATTTCCCTAAGTTTCCCGATACTAAAAACAATAAGATATAAATTTAAATAAACAGTAATTCAAATGTCCTCCAAAACATGAAGGGATAAATTGTGGTATGTATTCAGCGGTTAAAAAAAAATCTATTGATAACATGCAACAACTTGTATAAATCTCAAAAGCAATATGCTGAATGAAAGAAGCGAATCTCAAAAGGTTGCATACTGTATAATTCCATTTATGTGGCATTCTGGAAAAGGCAAAAGTTGATGGATAGCAACCAGATTAGTGGTTGTCAAAGACTGGGATGAGGGGAGGTATTGATTAAAAGGGGGCAGCATGAAGGAATTGGAGAGATAATGGAATTGTTCTGTCATTATTGTGGTAGTACACACATGATTTAATGCATTGTCAAAACCAACAGAATTATATAGCACACAAGGTGAATTTTACTGTATGTTTTGGGGAGAAAAAGTCCTAAGAGTATAATAAAACTAAGTATTTTGAAGCATAAACCAAATTGAAACACTCCCAGCAATCCCCCCAAATACTTCAGAGGAAATAGGACCCCGAAGCCATCTACTGATTCCCAAAACGAGAACTTCTGTTCAAAGCTCAAAAAGCATCCTCTGAAGGTCTTCTAGAGTTCCAACCCACTGAGTTAGAGGTAACGCCTTTTATAAGACTGATACACTGAAAGCTTGTAGAGGATGCCAAATTAAACACAGAAGTTTATTTTAAAGTATTCCTTACCTTTTCCAGCTCTATATCTTGGAATGGGAATTGTCCAACCACCTTTTTATACACCTCTTCACTTGTTACTGGTATAGGACTGTAGTTGTCAGAATCAAGTATGTTTCTATAAAGAAAATGAAGGAAGAAAGCAAAGGAGGGAACAAGGGATGGAGGAAAGGAGGAAAGAAGGAAGGGTTAATCACTGTAGTGATCACAAGAAATTTTCAAGTGAACACCAATGGTTGTATATATTCCACAACCCAAAATAGAAGTCTATTCCTTCTAGAATATAGCTATTTGGCTTCAGATAAGAATGTCTTTAAAAGAAGACAAAGAAAACTACATTCTGAAACAAATGGAATGCAATTATAAACATGATCTCACAGCATTTGAGATTTACAGATGAGACAGAAAAGTTTAAGGCAACATGTTGAAGCCTTAAGGCGACTAAGAAGTAAACAATAAAAGAATGTGTGCTCTGGAAAAGGCAAAGAGGTTTTATTTGGGTTTTTTGTATGTTTTTAAATAATATATATCTGAATATGTTCTTTAATCCTATACTAGATCTTCTTTTCTAACTTTCAAAATTGACAGATGAGAAAAAGTAACTTCTATAACAAATTACATTCATTTACTTCATCTACTACTCTATATTAAGGATAATTTTTTTTTCATCCATTAGGTTCTGACTCCTTAACTAGACTGGGGTTCTATAAAAGCAGAGATACTACTAAAATCAAAACAAAAATTTACTGAAGAACAGACGCTCTTAAGACCATGATTATATTATATTATTAATTTTCAAGGCTTCTATATAGATTATTCTCCATCAAATACAATTCTATCATTAGATAAATCTGGTTTTTAAAAATACAAATGTTTATATTAATATATAAATGAGTTTCATTATGTGAATATCAGAGATATGTTCATAAATTGTGAAGAGTAAGCTTAAAGGGGCAATGTAAGATCTTAAAGCTATAAAAATTTGAAAACAGGGTAAGCTGATCTAGGGAAGGGGTCTTGAAGTAAGCAGGAAGATCACTTTAAATAAATGAAAAATGGTTCAAAAGGTGAAGAAACTCATGACATGGGGTGTATGCCAGGAAAACAGTCCAAGGAGACATTTGTAAGTGGGAGATATAACAGAATAACTTTCTTATTGTTGTATCCATGTTACGTTAATTATTTAAATAATATACTTCAAATATTGGATTGTAATAGGACTCTTCTCTGTGGGTGGAGAAGATGAGGAATCACATAAGTGAAGTCTTCGAAATAGGTTTCAAAGAAACTAAATTATTTAAAAGGGCTCAAAAGTTACTAAAATATGAATGAGTCGTAGACTAGGCATGTTTCTCAAAGAGAAAACAAAAAATTGAATAAGAAAATACAAGATGATAATGGATAGTATAAACCAAGGTATTTGACATTTATTCAAAGGAATTTAAAAAAAGCCACAATGGGATTTGGGGACTCCCACATGCTAAATACTAACACGATGAGATTGGATATCTGGGGAACATTATTTGGGATATCACTGTAATTCACTTGAATTAATCAATCATAACTTGGATCACAGCTCGAAAATACAAGCCATGTATACATGTTGCTCATTACATCTGAAAAAACTTATACATAAACACATGTTGTACAACATGTTCATGCAAATGAGTGTGTGCGTGCACACATACACAGAGGACTACAGATAACTTCTTACCTGAAAATACTTGCCCACTTCTTTAGCAGAGTTTCACTATATTGATCTCTGATTTCTAACAGCATATCAAAAAGTTGATTTACAGGAAAACCATAAACCTGAAACAAAATAAGAAAATAGCTTCATTATATAAGGTTGCCTTTTTTAGCAACTTAAGTGATTAGGCACTGAAAATATTTGTGCTCTTTGGTCAACAATTTAAATGAAATCATGCTAAGAATCTTTCATTCTCACCCAGTATCTAGTACTCAAGAATTAAAAAGACACATACCAAAATATTTAAGCCAGTCAGAAAAAAAAGGTGAAAATTTAAATAAATATATACAGGATACAACGTCAGCTAAGCTCTCTCTACGACTCCTCCTGTCATGCTTAGCAACCATAAGGTGTAGGCGAAGAATTTGACAATGCTACCAACCTCACCCACTGTTCCAATGCTGTTCTACTGATGTAATATGTGGTTCAAGTCAATAGTTATTCAAGATGGCAGTTAAGAAACTCTAAAGTCACTCAGGCAGTATATCTGAATTAAAGACATTTTGAAAAACTAAAGTAATGGCTGGTTCAATTAATTGATTTGCTCTAAGGAGAAAAAAAAGGGGATGGGAACTATTTATGGGAACATAAATAGTCAAGGTGATGATATAGAAATGCTATAAAGAGATAAAAAAAATCTAGCTCTAGGCAAAAAAAAAAAAAAAAAAAAAAAACCAAACACACACAACTAAAAACTAAAAGGTACTTATTCAATCTTAGGTCCACATTGAAAAGATTTAGATCTGATGAAATACTAATCTAGGTAGGTATGTATAAATGAAAGTCACAAACCTGAAGTGTATCAGCAAAAAGCACAATGAGGTTCTTCAAATCCAATACGAGGTTTGGATCAGAGCAGTAAGACTAAAGGGAAAATAAGACAATTAGGAAAACATCTTAATTATTAGAAATAAAACTAAATTTTGATTTATTTGTTTAATGCTTCACCTGGTGAACATCCTCTAGAAAGGGTCCAACCCTTTCTTGGTTTAAGGTAACACCAGATTTGGCCAGGGAAGAGCTAAGTAGAAACTCTAGTAAGCCAGGATCTACATTTTTAACACTTGGCAATTTAAAAATACACTTCTAAATAACTCTTCAGTTAAAGAATAAATCAAATGGACACTGAAGATTATTTTTAAATAAACAACAATGAAATACTTCAAAACCTATGAAATGTGGCTAAAGCCATTTTCAAAATAAATTTATTTCTTCTATGTAAACCTTAGAAAAACAAAAGGAAAATAAACAAAATAAGCACAAACTCATTAAGCTAGGCCACAAAGGCCAAAATAAATCATAAATGAGAGAACAAATTGATAAAATTAAAAGCAGAAATTAATGACAAAGATGCCATGAAAGATTTGATCAATTAAACCAAAAGCTCAAGTTAAAAATAATATTAATAAAATAGACAAATTTTTGGCAAGTCTGATTAAATAACAAAAAGAAAACAAAACTAACCAATACATGGAATACAAAAGAGAAAATAAACATAAATATAGAGGAAAATACAAATTATAAATAAAGTTCACTTATAATATCATAACATATTTGAAAAGTGAAGTGACATGGAAGATAAGATTCTGTGGGCAGGATACAAGGATATATATGCCACTATTTTAAAAGTTCTGTGATTTTGATATTCAAATTCTCTTAGAGTTTGGTTACTTACTCTCTATTTGATATCTCAGTTCCTGAAAGAAGTGTGTTAAATTCTTCCTCAATGGTTTGTCAGTTTCTCTTATTACTAACACTTTTTGTCTTTATATATATTGGTGCTTGCTCTGTCCCCTGTAAATAGGCTATTATCTTTTTGGTGGGTTAAAACTATTATCAATATAAAATGTTCCTTTCTTCTCTCATTTAATGGTCTTCAACTTCAATTCTATTTGTCTTGTAGAATTATGCTATTTCTTCTCTTTATTTTAAATCTTTTTAGGTAACCTTAATGTATGAATATCTCTTAGTAACCAAACTATAAAACTTTCTAACTCTTTGACATTTCCCATGATTACTGACTATCTGGACCTATATCAGCCAGCCATTTCAAGTTTTCTATTTACAATGATTTCCTCTTTGCTTTGTTTCCTTTCATGTTTTTCATTGGCTAAATACTTTTAAATTATCTTATAGCGATTATTAATGTTATATACTTCCTGTCCACTGTTTATTTGAAGTAATCTGGAATTTATATTTTAAAAACTTTTAAACATTAAGCTTTTCCTTTGTAGGGATTCTTAGTAGCATTAAACTTTTCAAATAAATAATCAGTTATTTAGATTTATCTATGAGTTTTACTCTCTTTTTTTTTTTTTAACACATTTTATTTAATCCTACCCCATCTTATATTTTGGATTTCTTTTTCAATTTTTTTGTAGAACACCAATAAGAAAGGATAGGTGTAGCATAAACTTTGAATCCTGATACGTTTAAAAATGCCTTTCTTTTGCCCTTAAACTAAAATATAAAATTTCGGATGTGAGAAAATTGTCTGCTGTTATTTACCCAGCTTGATACAAAATGCATCCTTTCAACTTTAATAATCTAGTCTTTCTTCACAAAGAATTTTCCTTCTTTCATTTCTTTAATTACTGAAGTCGCTACCTTTGTGACTGTCCTTTTCTTCTTAATCTCTATTAGATACAACCAAAACTCTCCATGAATTATCCGTGTTTCTTAACTTCCCTTTCCTATTATCTCTCTGTGTCTTTGTGCTATATTTTCGGATATATATTTGACTTTATCTTCTTGATCACAGAATGATATGCAGTTTTATCTGTTTAATTTTTAAATTAAATTTCATCAATAACCATGGTAATCATAAATTTCAATGAAAGCAATGTTTACCTTTGATTTCCACCATTCTTTGGCTTGCTTCCTTCCTTTCCCTTCTTGCTACATTTTTTAAATTGTGACTATAGTATATACAGAGAAAAAAATAAGACCTATATGTACTATTTTACCAGGCAAACAAAACTGAACAGCACCAACATGCCAGAAGTTCCCAGAGGTACTAATCACAACTGCTTTCTTCCCCACTCAGGGAAATAATATCATGCCTTTTATGATAATTTCCATGTCTTGCCTTAGTTTTTTGTTTCTTTGTATGTTTTAACTTAATAGACTTTGTTAGAGCAATTTTGCATTTATAGATAAATTGGGCAGAAAGTACAAAGAGTTCCCATACACCCCTATACAAATATACTCTAGCTCCCTTTCCCCTATTATAATGTCTTACATTAGCGTGGTACATTTGCTACAATTGATGAGCCAACAGTGACACATTATTGTTAACTAAAGTCCATAGTTTATATTAGAGTTCACTTTTTGTGTTTTATAGTCTATGGCTTTTAACATATGTATAAGATATAAGTATAAAGAGAATTGATTCTGTATAATAATTTTGTACTAGGAAACCTGCTAATCTCTTCTATTAATTGTAGTAATTTTCCATAAATTCCTTTTTACTTTCAGTGTACCAACATATATCATGTGCAAAAATTAGTTTTATTTCCTCCTTTCAAAGGTTTATTTATTTATTTTACAAAACAGATACAACTTCAAGTACAATAAAAAATAGGCGCAATGGTAATTAAATATATTTGTTACAAGTTTTTAAGGATGACTTTTATCAGATTAATAAAATTCACTTATGATTCTAATTTACTGAGAGATTTTACCATGAATTTATGGTATGTTTAATTAAATGCTTTTCTTTATCTACTGAATTTTATAATTTTTGTCTTTTAATCTATTAATGCATTAAATTACATTAACAGACTATAATATTGAAACAAGTTTACACTGTTACTATAAATTCAATATGTTAATGTTGTTTGTAAATTGCTGGGTTTGGTTTTCTAGTATTTTGTTTAGGATTTCTGATCTATATTAATGAATGAGCCTGATCTATATTTATGAGTTCATAAGTTCTTATACTATCCTCATCTGGTTTCATAATATCAAGATTATACATACTTCATAAAAGGAGTTCGTTCATGTTTCCTCTTTTCAATTCTCTGAGAGTTTATGTAAGATAGGAACTGAGGATACAACTCCCTAGGCATGGGAGATTTCTTTGAGGGAAGAATTTTAACTGCTTTTTCTATTAACCTGAAAAGAATAGTCCTTTCTAGCTTACTGTGGGTAGGGTACCATTTTAGACTCTCCATCTTGGGCAGGCCCAATAGGCTGTCAAAATCTAAGTTCAAATTGTCTGGACTAACAAGTGACCTCAAGGCAAAGGCAGCTTAAGTGTTTTGCCTATCTGTTTGGACTCTCAAATTTCCTTTGGGTTTGGCCTGGCAATTCCCTAATATCCTTACTAAGTGCTCTGAGACTTAAAGAACATCTTATATTACATAAATACATATATACACATACATAAAGTAGCATTTTTAGTTATTTCCAGCTGAATGGTTAGTATGAATAACCTAGCCTCCTATATTCCCAAAATGAGAAATGATTACTACTTTGTAAATGTTTCTCCTAGACCATGAATTATTTGTATTGGCCAAAGAATAGCTAGCTATTCTCTTTGTTTATTGTTGTCTTCTATTTGGTGTAATAGGTTTTCCTCAAATATTTTAAGACTCTTGGCTGTTTGTTCATGTTTTAGAATTAAGGACTAGGTTGATTAGTATGAATAACTGGTATGGGTTTCATCCTCTGCAGTTTTAAGTCGGTTTCCCAAAAATCTGACTACAGGCTCTTTATACATGGGTGGAACAGATGAATCACTTTCTTCAAAAAGCTGTACTACAGAACTTCGCTGATCATGCTACTGTCTTTATGTAGATGGCAAGGCTGGCCAAAGGAACTGGGTAAGCAGCTGGCTGGCTAAGGATTTTGGAAAGCAGAACTCTAAATAGTTTCCCTCATGATTTCTCTTAGTAGGCCCATTCTTGATCATTATATTTGTTGACTCTGAATTTTGAGTGTTCCTACATTCCACTTGGAACAATGTCTCCTACTTTGACAATAACCACCCCTACTACATTTAATATAATTATTTCTACTACATTTAATATAATTATTCTAATTCCATCTGTTTTCTAAGTTCAAAAAAATTTTTCAAAACTTCTAGCCTTTGACAGTACTTTGCAGAGTTTCTCTTTTTAGTTTGTTTTTCCCCCATATTATTTCAATAAGAATCTGGTGAGGAGATCTGGAAGACATATATGCTTAGTATAACCTTTGATTCAAAAAAACAAAATATGTGTGTGACAGGGGATGGATTTGAATGTGGGTGTGTATAAAACCATTATCACAATGCACACTCTTCTCTACCAAATAACAAAAATGTATAATTTTTAATATCTATAAAACATGAGTTTTTCTGGCCACACAGAATTACTTTGTTCCATAATTTTGAATCTTAAAAATATCTTTTCATTATTGTTAAATGATCTGTTTATCATACTATTAACAATCATTTTAGCAATTATATTAGCGGATCTAACATTGAACCATTCCTGATATGATGTATTAGCATGTTATTCTTTTAAGATATTTGAATTTTAAGTGAGATGGATTGTATAAGATGTTCATTTTGTTTTGAAATCAGCATGAGACTACTACACACATTAACATCTGAAATATTATCTTCCAAAATATTTCCAATTTATGAAATGACAAATAATCAATTCAATCAGAAAAAGTAAAGAGTAGTTTAAAATAGGGATATAGAAAGTTTGAAAAATATTTGAATTTTTGACAAATAAAATAATCACTCAGATACAGAGTTTGTTTCTGAAATTTGTTTTGATGTTTGGGTTGTTCTTATTTTGCTTTGCTTGCTGGGTAATATAACACAATAAACAGTATCATGAAATAGAATTAGCATCTGTAGCATCAAGTACTCTGTCTCATAATGGATAAAATGGTTCAGTGAGTAAATGTGGGTGATGCTAAGTTATATTTTAATAGTTCTCTTGAGATACAATTCTCATACCATACAAGTCACCCATTTAAAGTACATAATTAATTTTTTTAGTATTTTTGTATATTCGCAGATACAAACAAACATAACCACAATCAATTTTAGAATATTTTCTCCACCTCAAAAAGAAACCCTGTGCCCTTTAAGCCACCTTCTTACTTTTCCTACCTAACTCCCAGCCCTATGCAACCACTAATCTACTTTCTTCCTCTGCAGATTGATGCTGAACTATTGGAGGAGGTGGAGCAGGCATTTTCATTTATTCTTCAATTCAAAGAAACATACAGTCAATCTACAAGGAGTAACTTCGTTAAGATTCATTTTCTCCATACATTTACACTTTAATTATCACACTTGGAAAGTGTCCTGCCCCTAATCACATCAAATGTTTTTTTAGAGTGTCCTATAGATTTGTCATAGTCTCAAATGTATCAGTCACACACAAAAAGTTAAGAACTACTGCTTTACATAAAAGAGATTGCTTAGAAGAAATCTAAGTTTTCTAAAAAGAAAACAGCTTATTCCAGAAAAGAAACTGGTAAAATCAATGAAATGGAAGACATAAGATAAACAAAATCAAGGACTTCTATAGAATAAGAGCAATACTAGTTAATATATATGATTAGGGGGGAAAAAAATCTTCCTCAAAATATTACCTGAAAAAAAAAACAACAAAAAATGAAGAACCAAAAATAGAACTTAGATGGGAAGCATATAAAATATTTTTCCAAAAGATATGAAAGGAAATAAGTGAAAAAAATACATATATTCCTGGTTAAAAAAAAAATACCAGATATTGAAATATGTCAATTATCTCGAATTAAATTTACAGATTTACTACATAGTATACTATAGTTCAATTTTGGTGTCAGGGGATAAGAGGTAGAAGGGATGTGACAAAGTGATTCTCAAATTAATCTGGAAAAATAATAATATAAATAGCATATTTTTCAAAGGATTTCAGAGGATATACACATCCTATAAGAAATTAAACCATACTATATCAGATGTAACAATCAAAACAATGTTATATTGGCTCAAGACATACAGAGAAGAAAGAAAAGGGGGGTGGGTCATAGAGCCTAGAAACAGAGTTTAGTATTTATATAACATATTATTACAAGATAAAGGTGGCCTTCAAAATATGTTGAGGAAGAACAGATGTTATGGACTGAATATTGTGTCCCCAAAAATCCATATGATGAAACCCTAACCCCCAGTGTGGCTATATTTGGAGATAGACAGTTAATTAAGATCAAATGAGGTAATAAGAGTAATAAGGTAATCATCTAATGGGATTGATGTTCTTATAAAAGAATGAGGAGACACTAAAATACACCTGAGGAAAGGCCATGTGAGGACATGACAAAAATGAAGCCATTTACAAACCAGGAAGACAGTCCTCACTTGAAACCAATCATGCTGGTACCCTGACTTCAGCCTACCAGCCTCTAGAACTGTGAGAAAATAAATTTGTTGTTTAAACCACCCAGTCTATGGTATTCTGTGATGGCAATCCAAACTGAATAAAACAATAGATTATCACAAGAATGTTATTGCAACTGATGAATTGTTTTAAAAATAATTAAAATACAGAGCCCAACGTCATACCCTATACTAAAATAAACTTTTTATGTTTGTAATTTATATGTAAAAAAGAAACTATAGAAATACTAAAATCAAATATAAAAACATAATTACATATTCTTTGGAATAAGAAATATAAATTATAAAGTTAAATACATCAACAAATTTAACTACACAAAAAAATTTTAAACTTCTGTAAAGCCATGGAAAAGCAAAACAAAGTTAGAGACACATGAAACTAAGAAAAAATATTTACAACCTATATGTCAGACTAGAGATTAACATTCAGATTAAAGGCTAACACCTATGTTTTGCTAATAAATAATAAAATATAAAATGCCTATTAAAATATAAGGCAATGCTGATGAATAGGATATTCCAAGAAGACGCACAAATAACTAAAACACATGTGAAGAGATTTTCAATGTCAGTACTAACCAAAGAACATTAAAATAAGATTTAATTTCTGACATATTAGGCTGGGAATGATTTTTCTTTTTACAGACAACCTTCTGTGTAGTAAAAGAAATAAGAAAATAGAAATTCTAACAGATGATACTTAGAGTGCTAAATGGTTCTATATTTTTGTAGAGCAAATTAGCAATATGCATCCAGAGCCTAAGAAATATACAGATCTTTTAACTCACTAATTTACATCTAAGTATTTATCCTAAGTGTAAGCAATTGTGCAGGGATATTTTTATAAAAATATTCACTGCAAATTTTATAATAGCTAAAAAAAGTTTTTTAAAAGCTTATCAAATGAGTTTTTTGTAAATGGCACATTCCTACAACTTACCCTACCCCCACTCCAAACTATAACCAAAAATAAAAGGCAAAAAATATTTGCAATACATTCAATAATGGCATATCCTCTTCGGTTTCAACTTATATAATAACAAATCTCCTAGGCTTTGCTACTTGGATGGCACAAAGGCATCTAAAAGTAATCATATCCAAATGCAACTCATGAACGCCCTACTCCAAACCATCGAAACCAACACCATCATCCAAGTAAGGAAAGCATAAACCTAGGCATTGCCTTGACACTTCTTTTACCCTTATTTCTTATATCTGATCAGAAAGTACAACTAATCTTATTTCCTAAAAGTTTCTCTAATTCATCCACATCTCTTCATAATTACTATCATCCCTTGGTCCGACTGTCATCATCTCTTGCAGAGAATAGTAGACTACCCTATTAATTGTTCTTCCCACATCCATTCTCACCACTCATCCATAATTTACCCAGAATATCTTTTCAAAATGCAAATCTGATAAAATATATCAATAAATCAGAGGAATTCATAATTAGGTTAACTTACTGATATGTTGTAAACATTTTTTTCAAAATGTAAACTATAAACTCCAAACCAGTATCAACAGGCGTTATAGCAGACAATATGCAGTAGTGGCTAAGAACATGGGCTCTGAAGTCATAATGTCTGGGTTTAAATCCAAGCTCCACTATTTACTGAGTAATAGTAGACTGGTTACTTAACCTCTCTAAAGTTAAGTTCCCTAGACTATAAGGTAAATATAATAATACCTACTTTATAGGGATACCGTGAGGATGAAATATATACGAGGTATACATAACAATGCTCGAGACCATAGTGAGCAATGAATAAATGTTAGCTACTGTTTTCTTTTGCAAAGAGCATCCACAAAAGTGGGCTCAGTGTTAGAAAACAGCAATTTGAAATGGCTACTTCCATATGTCTTTGAAGAACATAGCTCCAAATGGGTGATTTCATATGATACACATGATTACATTAAAGCACTAAAACAATGAATAGTAAATAGATAATAAGCTCGAAATAAGAACTTCTCTTGGGCTTCTTACATACCGAGTGGGTACGGAGTGCTGCGATGGTTTTTGAAAGTGCCATTTCCCATAGTTCATCGATGTAGGCTCTATTTACTAAGCCCTGGGTCGTATGTAAAATATGATCTTCAACCACAAAAAAGCTAAGATTGAGAAGAAAAGAAAGCACAGCTATAAGAAATTACAGTTTGAATACTATATCCAGGGTTTGACAAACATTAAGAGCTGCCATCAAATTCTAACAGCCATTTTTTCCTAAAAAAAAAGCTATTCAGTTTCATAAATGAAATCGGATTTCTTGGACTTAGAATTATGCCCCCGATCATGATATACTCAACAACTTTTACAGAAATTAGAGTTACATTTCTGTTAAATGTTAACCTTGTTATACAGCAATTTAAAAGGAAGGAAAATGTTTATAGGTAAAGGAGGCTAATTTCACTATATTAAAGATATCAGGTCATTAATACATTTTTAAAAACCGATGATTTTAAAGAGACAATGAAAGCTAAAATACATATTTTTTAAGAACCCAATACACGAAATATCGAAATAATTCCCCTTATCGTTATATAGACTTCTTCATTCAAGTGTTGAAAAGATGTCTTACAAAGGTTAAAAAAAATGCACACTTATTTTTTAACATTCAGTTGTGACTTTTTATTCTTATGCATTTAAAATGTATTGTCAGCTATCTTGCCTAAATGTTTATATTAATTAAACAATTATTTAAATAGGGAATATTTATTACATATTTTAATTAAAACTATCAATTATATTAAAACAATCTTAATCTGAAAATAAAGAAAGAAATATCAGGGAACAATCCAATTTACTTCCGTTTCTTTTAACTACAACGTCATTATTTTGCAGTTAGAATAAGATGCCTGTGTTTGGGGTGTTTATCTGGGACCTGCAATTTCATACTAGTACAGATACTCTAGATGATGGTGGCAAACTCTATAGCCCATGGGACAAATCTGGCCCACTGCATGTTTTTATAAACATTCTTTTATAAAATATAGCCATTCACTCATTTACATATTGTCTCTAGCTGCTCTTGCACTGTAACAACTGAGCTGAGTAGTTGTAACAAAAAACCTTATGGCCTCCTAAGCCTAAAATACTTTACTATCTTGCCTTTTTAGAAAAAGTTTGCTAACTTTTGTTGATTATTTGGTTCCCTCTTATCAAGAATGGATAAACAGAACATCAAATATAATAAGATTATAATTCAATGTTTTTCTCCCTTTATCCACAAAAAGCACTTTCCAATAATAATAATGAAATCAGTAAGACATTTCTTCAAAATCATCAGAAAGTCAAAACTAAATCTTGTCTAAAGAATTAAAAAAGAAAATGAATTTCCCAATGAAAACTTGATTTATTTTTCCAAGTCTCAAAAATCTATGTATTAAAAGTGTATAAATTTAAATACACACACATACACATACCTACCCTACAATTTGATTAAAATATTTCCTGTAGCCATCTAAAGTTTCATGCTGTAACAAAGCAAAGAAGAAAAAAGTTATTGTTTCTGTTTTGATATATTAAGAGAGTTAGTACCAGTTATTTAATTTCTTAAGACTCAGTTCTCAAGACTATAAGGTAAATATAATAATAGTAACTACCTTATAGGGTTACAGTGAGGACGAAATGAGACAATGCATATCTAGTACTTAAAACAATGCCTGACACACAGCAATCAATGGGTGTCAGAGTTGCTATTTTCTTACTGTGAGTTACATTTATCAAAAGTGGTCTGGTACTGACAGTAAAAAATTATCTAAAACACATATGCAAAATAATTAAAAGATACTAGGGAAGAATAGTGACAAAAGTGAGAAAAGGGAAGGCAGTGATCCTACCATGTTAGATGGAGGCTGGAGCACCAAACGGGCCTGTTTTCGCCTCTGTTTTCGGTAGTAGTTCTCAAATGTTTCCCGGGCACCCTGTAAAATAAACGAAAGTCTGACACAATTGGACCGATTACTCTAATATTTCATGGGAAAAGAGATGCTCCCAGATCTGGAACTGAGGCAGCCACACATTTCTCAAAATTTGCTATTTTAACAATGAAAGTCATAGAAAAAGTAAAAATAACTATCACCATTTATTGCATCTTACTTAGAAATCCCACAGGGATGACTACAAAAAATTCTTAAGAGGAAACTACCAGAATTCAACCTCTGACACACCAGAGCTGGTTTCTGAATCAACCATCACAAATTCACAAGAATGAGAACAAACCAACGTTCTCATAGGGTATAACAACAGTTGAGAAAATGTTCCTTAAAGAACTTCACAGATCATTTCAGGAGAAAAAATGTCCAGAATAAAAATAAATCATAAGCAATGGGCCAAAGAGAGACAGGAAAAAAGGAGGAACTGAAAACAGTAAATCAGTCTTTCCAGATAGAATATATAATCTAGCATAGGACTAACACCAAAAAAAAAAAAAAGAGAGAGAAAGAAAGAAACAAAGCACTGGAAATTCTTATGCAGTTTCCAGTTTTCATTTAGGTTTCTGGGTTTAAACTGAAGGGAGCTCTAGTGAACAAGAGCTGGCTCATGAGCTCTGAAACTGGGCTGAATAGTGTCCTCTCAAAATTCATGTCCTTCCTGGGGGTCTCTCAATATGACCTTATTTAGAAATACGGTCATTGTAGATGTAATTAGTTAAATGAAGATGCAGTCATACTAGAGTAGGGTGGTCCTTCATTCAATATAACTGACGTCTTTAAAAGAAGAGTAGAAAAGACACAAAGATAGAGATACAAAGGAACACCATGTGGTGACACAGCAGAGATTAGAGTAGTGCAGCAGAAAACCAAGGGGCATCAAAGATTGACAGCACCACCAGAAGCTGGGAAAACACAAGGATTCTACCCAGAATGCGAGAGGTAGAATGGCATCTGGCACCTTGATTTTTGGATTTCCAGCCTCCAGAACTGTGACAGAACAAATTTATGTTGTTTAAAGCTACCCAGCCTGTGGTACTTTGTTATAGCAGCCCAAGAAAACTAATATAAGCTCAAAGATTTTAAAATATGATTCTTTCATTACGAAATTCTACTCTCAATTGAAGACTTCTCTGAATAAACAAGGGTGGAAAGGGAGAGACAGCACTGCACAGTGGTTAACACCACTGATTTGGGAACGAGATGATTTCATTCAAATTGTGGGTCTGGCCCTTACTAGTTCTAAAACTCATATGACTACTATATAACTTCCCTTTCAAATTTAACTTACACTATTTAATTATTTAACTTTCACAAAGAGAGGTGCTGTGGTTTTCTCATTTGTAGAGATGACAACCACACATAGTTGCTATGAAGATTTTTAAATCAAAGTTTTCAGAACAGTTGCAAAGCTTTTATTTTTTTAATTTTTTTACAAAGCTTTTAGAAGTGATAAATAACCATTATGAAAGTGCTTATTTACAAATTAAATAAGATAAAATTGATGATGAAAGTAGATTCCCTGCCCATATAAGAAAGTATAAACTCCCTGCAATATCTAGTTCAGTCTAAAGAATTTTATCCAATGACTTCTTTGAACTGGGAAAGTTGATTTAAGGTACTAAATCACGCAAACTCAATAGTGCAGCTGAGGAGTTGTCAAACGTTTTCTGTACAGGGCAGGGTAGTAAAGATTTTTAGGCTTAGTTAGCCATACAGTCTTTGTTGCAACTACTTAGCTCTGCTGTTGTGCAAACGTGGCCATAGACAAAAAGTGAATGAGTATGGCTGTTCCAATAAAATCTTATTTGTAGAAATTTCAAATTAGAATTTCATATAATTTTCACCTGTCATGAAATATTGTTTTTCTTTTGATTTTTACCAACTATTTAAAAATAGAAACCATTTTTGGTTCACAAGTCATACACAAACAAGCAGCAGGCTGGATTTGGCCCATGAGTCACCGTTTGTTGACCCCTGGTGTAACTTAAAAACAAAGGTTTTAAAATGTTAAAGTGATTATAACTATACACACCTGAGTTTTCCTGGCTGTAAAATGAAATCAAACATTAAGACAACTATTTCAAGGCTTTCTTAGTCCCTAAGTTAATGAGGTAGCAAATGATTCTATTTAAAAAATAAGAAGTGGAAACTGCCTGTTGGTTTGTTAGTTATTCCCTACTTGTCACCATTTCACAGGGTAGTGGTATTATTAAATGTCAATTACATTCTGTACACAGTAAAGGGCTTTTCATTTTAAGGTTAACAGTCCTAAAGGCCCTTTATTATTCTGGTGTGATGTTACATATTCAACATGCTTTGGAGCCAAAATACACTTAGCTGAGAATTTAGGAAAAGCCTTCTCTCTAATTAAGACCACAATATACTAATTTAATTATTTATTATAAATGATAGAAAATATACAAGATGAAATGTTATTTAAAAACTAAATCATGAATCTCTACTTAATTCTAAAGTAGATACAGTTTTGCCTTTCAAATATTCATTCAATAGACTAAAAACATAAGAAAAGATAAATTTATCTAACAGATCTGGCTTCCCCATTTACAAAAATAAGTTAGATTTTCCCTAGTGACTGCTAAATAAATTCACCTCTGATTATTCTATTTCCTCTGCCAATTTTGTCAACTCAATGCTTACAGGTGGAATTTGAGAAGCAGATGTGTGACCAGTTCAGCTGAGTAATTGATGAAATGCCTGCCTATTTACAAATAGGTCAATAGATGAACTGTACAGTTTGCCACCTCTGCCTCAAATTCTTTTAATCACTAATATGTTTAAAAAAAAAAAAAAACTCTATTGAAGATATAAACAAAAAAAAAAAAGCAGATAAATGAAAAATTTTTTTTTTCATTTTATGTCATTAGTATTACAGCGCTCCAAAGTCTTTGTAATAATTAATTAATACACACACTATCAGAGAAAAACAAGTCACTTAATATATTTAAAGTGCTTATTACCATGTGATAGACACTATGAATGGTCCCTGTCCTCACTGAATCTACAGTTAGAGTCTACACTGGAAGACTAGCAATTAAACAAGCAATTATATTAAAATAAACTATAGAATCCTATGGATTGTAGTGGTATATGGGTGTGTATGGGGTGCGTATGGGGTGTATGGGGTGTGTGTGTGTGTGTGTGTGTGTGTGTAATGGGTATGAGGAATGTCAGAGAAAGCGTCCCAGGAAAAAATGACAAACTCATAATTGAAGAATCAGTCAGAAAAATAAGCCAGGTAAAGAGGGAAAAGATGTTCCTCATAGAGACACAGGGGTGGGGCTCAAAGAAAAAAGGCATCACACTTCCCATGAACTGAAAGAAGTTTTTCATGGCTGGAACTTTGAGATATAAGGGAGAGGGATAACAAGAGATAAGGCTGGAAGGCTTTGTAAATTATGTTAAGATACTTGGCCTTCAACTCTAAAGACAATAAGAGTTTTAGACACTTGGAAGTTGTAGTTGAGTAGAATGAAGAAAGGGAAAATTAGATACAAAAAACATCAGTCAGAATCTGACATATATTTAGGAGGTGCAAGCCAATGATTGATTGGATATGAGTGGTAAAAGACAGGAAGGAAAGAAGGCTGATGTGAGGTTTCTAATCTGGGTAACTGGTTTGAAGGTGGTGTTATTTAATAAGAGATGAAACATAAGAGAAGGTATAGATAGTCAAATATTATTCATAGATTTCATATTAGCAAATTTGTCTACTTGCTAAAATTTACTTGTAACCTCAAAATCAATATGCGTGGCTCTCTCATAGTCATTTATGAAGGTGTACAGACTGGTGGAAATTTGAGTTTCCTGGATGCACATCTTCCTAGCTGAGGTCAAAAAAGGGAACGCTCTGCCTTCTTATTTCAGTTCACATACTATAAACAATTATCCTTTTCAAGTCTATCTAGTGCCACACTTTTTGCATTTTTGTGCTTCTTTTTTTTAAATCGACATATAATTGACATATATTAGTTTCAGGTGCATAACATAATGATTCAATATTTGTATATATTGTGAAATGATCATCATAATGAGTCTAGTTAACATCCATCACCACGCACAATCAAAAATGTTTTTTTTTTGTGATGAGAACTTTTAAGATCTACTCTCTTAGCAGCTTTCAAATATATGTACAGTGTTCTTAATTATAGTTACCATTACATCTCAATAGCTTATAGATTTTATAATCTTTTTAACTTTTTGACCACTTTCACCTAATTTCCCATTCCCCAATCCTGTTTCTGGCAACAACCAATCTGTTCTTTATATCTGTGAGTTCGGTTGATATTTTTGTTTGTTTTTTTAGATTCCACATAAGTGAGATTATACAGTATTTGTCTTCATCTGTCTGACTCATTTCACTTAGCATAATACCCTCAAGTTCCATCTATGTTGCTGCAAAAAGCAAGGTTTCCTTTTTATGGCTGAATAATATTCCATTGTGTATATATACCAAATTTTCTTTATCCATTCATTCATCAATGGATGATTAGGTTATTTCCCTATCTTTGCCATTGTAAATAATGCTGCAATGAACATGGGGTGCATTTATCTTTTCACATTAGTGACTTCATTTTCTTCAGATTAATACTCAGAAGTGGAATTGCTGAATCATATGGAAATTCTATTTTTAATTTATTGAGGAAGCTCCACACTATTCTCCGTAGTGGCTGCACCAATTTCCATTTCCACCAACAGCACACAAAGTTTCCCTTTTTTCCACATCCTCGCTAACACTTGTTATTTCTTGTCTTTTGATAACAGCCATCTAACAGGTGTGAGTCTCATTGTGGGTTTGATTTGCATTTCCCTGATGATTAGTGATGTCGAGCACCTTTTCATGTACTTTTTCATGTCTTCCATTTTTGTGCTTCTTGTTGGTGATTTTCTATTTTAAATGGCCCCAAAAATATTACTAAAGTGTTGTTGAGCATTCCTAAGCTCAAGAAGGCAAGATGTGCCTTATGGAG